GATAGATAGATAGATAGATAGATAGATAGATAGATAGATAGATAGATAGATAGATAGATATATAGATAGATAGATAGATAGATAGATAGATAGATAGATAGATAGATAGATAGATAGATAGATAGATAGATAGATAGATAGATAGATAGATAGATAGATAGATAGATAGATAGATAGATAGATAGATAGATAGATAGATAGATAGATAGATAGATAGATAGATAGATAGATAGATAGATAGATAGATAGATAGATAGATAGATAGATAGATAGATAGATAGATAGATAGATAGATAGATAGATAGATAGATAGATAGATAGATAGATAGATAGATAGATAGATAGATAGATAGATAGATAGATAGATAGATAGATAGATAGATAGATAGATAGATAGATAGATAGATAGATAGATAGATAGATAGATAGATAGATAGGTAGATAGATAGATAGATAGATAGATAGATAGATAGATAGATAGATAGATAGATAGATAGATAGATAGATAGATAGATAGATAGATAGATAGATAGATAGATAGATAGATAGATATATAGATAGATAGATAGATAGATAGATAGATAGATAGATAGATAGATAAATAGATATATAGATAGATAAAAAAATCTTTTAAATTATGGAAAATAAGAACAACTCGGTATTTGAAAATCTATACACCTAATATAGCAGTTTGACAAACTCATAAACATAACTGTTTACTTTCAAATAAATGTAATATTATGGTAACCCTATAATGATTTACATATTTATATCTCATTCACAAAAAAAAACGAGCAAAAGTACTCTAAACTAAGTTTAATAACGTTAATGATTGCTTTAAAAAGCAAAAAAATAAAAATAACAAAGTTCATTTAAATAACATCAATTTTTACGAAGAAAATTCCAAAAACTAAAGCTACTTAAAAACAATTTAAGAGAGTCTTTTTAAATTCTCTTAAATCTTTCAGAATGTAAGACAAAAAAGGTTTAAATAAGAAGTAGTGAAAAGAAATTTTTACCTTTATTACCCATATATACTCATAAACTTAAGTATGTTTTTTACATTTACAATATACATGTACGTACATACCTTTTGAAACATTTATGATGTTGATCGTTGCTAGCCATCATCGTAAGCAGCAGCAACAGAAGCAGCAGCAACAACATCTGAATTTGAATTGTTGTTGACTACTTGCTATCTCTGTCTTTGCGTAAGACAGGTAAACAACGCCAGCGTATAACCAGCAGCATTTCGAGTCAAACCAGTAACAAAAAATTACAGAAAAAAACTGCTACACGGTAGTTGTAGTGGTAGCAGCCAAACTATATTCAATATATGATACTTGTACATTATTCGTCGTTTTGAACTCATATGGTTGTTTGGTATCTATACCGGTATAACAACCAACGGTCGGTCGGATGGATGGACGAACGGTGGGTCGGTAGATCGGTCGTTCGTTCATACAATTCAATAAAACATACATGTATGTATTGTATATGGCAGTTACTACTGGTGCCACATTATACTTACATATTAGGCCAACTAACTAACCAACCTTCTATACTTATTGCTGTATCATATAGTATATGGCAGCTGCTGGATGTGTTATTATACCGGGTTTACAACGATATATTTGGAAGCACATACATATAACAATATCTGTGTGTATCTAAGTTCTAGATATATACATACAACTTTGCAGATGCTATGACTATTCTTATTACGATTGTTTGTGACTCCTGCTCCTGCAATCACATTACTATAATCATTATGATGATGATTTTTTGTTATTTGGAATTCCTTTTTTTCTTCAGTTCTTGCATATTAAAAACAACTGGATGTATGTATGTATATACGTCATCTTTTTTTGTATTGCATTATCAAGTTCAAAGGGGAATTTTGTTTTTATGAGATTATTTTTTTAATAAGTTTTTGTAATCAATCCACAATTCATTAAAACTAATGTTCTTTAGTATTTAACTAATTCTTAAAGCTTTTGAAAATCGGAAGTTACATTATCTGAAAATCCAATTATTATTTAATCAAACTCTTTTCTAAACTACAACACTTTTTTATCTAATTTATTTAATATAAAAAATATTGAAATTGTTGCTTTTTAACGAGTCTTTCATGATTTTTTTTTTTCCAAAATATTTCTGAAATAAGCAAATCCATTAAAGGGTTAATATTTGTTCTTTTATTTAATCTCTTTGATTAATTACTATTTCTGTAAGTAATGATTTTCCGACTCTAACGTGTCCATGGATTTTTTTGGATATTTGCTTTTTTATCATTATTTTCTAAAATGAATTACATACTCTTGCTTGCGTACATACACTTCATGGCCATTATCTTTGGTTTAAAAAAAAAACCTTTTCTCATTCTAACTAGTTTCTTTTCTTTACATTGTAAGATCATGTTTAGGAATCCTATTAGTTTATAATGAGTAACATGTTAAAATATTAGATTTCTGTGGTTTTTTAAGAAGTGCTGCTTGTGGTTTTGCATTTAATGAATTTCCAAACGTCGTGTTAGTTTACAAAATAGTTTATATGAGTATTTGTATGTTTGTACTTTGTTTCCTTCAATCTTCTCTGCTATTTGTGAATGTTGCTTTTTAGTAGATAAAGTAGGATGAATAAATTAAAAAAATATGTACATTAGAGTGGGTCGGTCTCTATGGACAAAAAAAAGTTGTGTCAGTCACCCCCTAGGATTAAAGATATGTTAATAACATTTCCAAAAATATAAAAAATATTTTTTTGCCACGCCTAGAAATACCGCCCTTTTTGTTTTTTATATATAACGTCGCCATTTTAAGTCTGATCGTAACATATGATATATCAATATTTATGGCTTGACTGTAGCTATATTTCACTCTTAGAAAATTTTTTAATTCGACGTCATATTCTATGCGTGACTTCTGATATCTCGGATCCTTCTCTAAAATCGAAAATTGTGGCTTTACTGGAATAAAGTACATTGAATTATATGAACTATTAGCTTTTAAAATGCTCACTTTTATGCATAAACACCTATTTTATAGATATTTAAAAATGTTCAAGTATTTATCAACCGTTCCCATAACAAACAATTAATTTTCCAGGAAAAACAGTAGAATTTTTTTTTTAAATGAACTATATATAACAGAAATCCGTTTTATTGTTTCAGTTACAAACCATTTCAGATCCTACTTCCTTTCAAAATAGCAGAAAGTTAACTATGTATGTACTATATATCAATACAGCAATATAGTGGTTTTGGTTTTAAACCTTGTAATCAAACTACAAGTCGCAATTTTCCAGATAATTTGATGAAAATAGCCTCAAATATTTCACTTTACCAAAGGACGAAATTGTTTGAAAATGGATTAAATCGGAGCTCTTAATTGTGGCTTGTCGTTATTTCCCTCTTAAACACTTCCATTATGATGAAATTCTGCATATCTAACTCCTATATGAACATAAATCCCACCACCAAATTTTGATAGGATCGGTCTATAATTGATCCTAGCTCCCATATATAGGCTCTTTCAGAAAATTAGTTTTTCATCAATAAATTGCCTAAAAAGTAATGGACAAATTTCAATATAAATGCTTTATTAAACAAGAATCAAGAAATCAACTCATAACTGGTATCATATGGTCGGCCATTCCCGACTAATATTTTTTTATTAGTTTTTATTTCAAGAACTTCTTTAAAAATATATAACTATTTAAGAAAAGTTAATCTATCATTAAATAAATTTATTACATTTTATAAAAATTAGTATAAACATTTTTGAAAATTGTTTAAAAAAGAAACAAGAGACATGCAAGTAATTGTATGATAAAAACAGGAAATATTTTTATAAAGTATAACTATTTAATTTTGCATAGATTTTTATAAAATAAAATATTTAGTTTTTATGTACCTACGTGATTTTGTTATTAATTAATAAAATTAAATGCCGAATAAAATTATCTTCCTTGTGTTAAGATAAGGGCAGAATGAAATTTGTGTATTGTAAATTAATTTGAAAAAATAGTTTTCGACCATATCCCTGGCAAATTAATTGTTTGTAGTTAGAACTATACGGGTATTTTTAAATACCTGTAAAATAGGTGTTTATGCATAAAAGTGAGCATTTTTAAAAGCTAATAGTTCATATAATTCAATGTACTTTATTCCAGTATAGCCACAATTTTCGATTTTGGGGAAGGATCCGAGATATCAGAAGTCGCGCATAGAATATGACGTCGAATTAAAAAATTTTCTAAGAGTGAAATATAGCTACAGTCAAGCCATAAATATTGATATATTATATGTTACGATCGGACATAAAATGGCGACGTTATATATAAAAAACAAAAAGGGCGGTATTTCTAGGCGTGGCAAAAAAATATTTTTTATATTTTTGGAAATGTTATTAACATATCTTTAATCGTAGGGGGTGACTGACTCAACTTTTTTTTCGACCCACCCTAATGTACATACATATTTGTGTGGAAACTTAAATGTTTACACTTCATTTATCTTTGTATATAACGGATATACATACGTGGTATTATTGTTCCAACAATTTTTTAATAAATAATCTAAATAATAACTCTAATAAAGCATTGTCCGAACTGTAATTTCCGTTGAATATAATTCAAGATTTATCAATACATCATATCAATACAATTGGAAACCTCTGTAAAGAATTTAGTTAAATACGTGTCCAAAAATAAAAGGGGAGGTGAAGAGAATAAACTTTTAAATATTGCAATATTATTTAAAATAAAGAAAATATTTTATATTGTATGTATATTAACTAGAGATAATCGCAATCATTTCTGTGCGGCTTAAATTTTATACGACTTAAATTAAAAATTTTCCAATGATTTGTAAAAGACAAAAAAAAAAGCAACTCGGACCAGGATTTATAAAATATTTCACATATTTGCAATATAAGTTATCTGTAAATCTAACTTATGTATGTTTTTTACATTCATTCATTATTTTTCTTTTCTTTTAGAAAACTTGGTCTGGATTTAGTACCTCGAGTGGGGCCTCTGGCAGTGGATCCTCATAATATTGGTATAGTTGGTTTACACAATGTTCATGTTACCAGTGCTGATAATGCTAAAGCATCATCTGTGAGTTATTAAAATAATAATTTTATTTTATTGGACACATTTTCATTACTTAATTTTAATCTTTCCACAGAGTCGTGGCACATTACGGCGTAAAACGCAACGAAAGATACTCACACATCATTTATATTTTTGTATGCGAGATTTTGGTTATCGCATTGCGGGAGGCGATGATGCAGAAGTTTATTTTTATCTTTATGATGCCAATAATATGAAAGCTTTGTCTGAAAGATTTTTGGTCAAAATCTCTAAAGATGGCTACTCCAATTATATGGAAAGAATGAATAGTAATTGCACAGTATTCACAGATTTAGGTGAGATTTAGGAGTATATTGAACTTTTGATTTGCAAATATTAAAAATTCTTTTTTCTAAAGGTGCGGCTGATTTAAATGATGATCTCTATTTGGTGGCTGTTGTTATGCGTGTAGGCAAGATTTTATCTTCTGATCCGGTTAAGAAATCTGAAAAATCCAATAATAATGCTTGCTGTAATGGCCCACCCGCATATCGGCGACCGTTTGGTGTAGGTGTACTATCGTTGTCGGATTTTTGCCATTTTGATAGTACCATAGAAACAGAGGAAAAAGAGCATAACATTAAATTGGTTTATCATAATGATGAGAAGGATTTCCATCAATTACCCGAGTTAATAATTAAGAAATCAAGTGGCAAATATCAGCCGATAAGCACTGGTAGTCAAAGTAATCAAGGTGTTGTGGTATCTCTAAAACTCTTACATGGTGGCTTGGGTCAGGCACGCCAAGAACAACCCTTACTCTTCCAAGGTAGTACCATTACACGTAAAATGGGCTTCCCTGATGTCATAATGCCCGGTGATGTACGAAACGACATGTTCATTACCTTAGAGCGGGGAGAATTTGAAAGAGGTGGTAAAAATACGGCTAAAAATATACTTGTCACAGTGGTCGTATTTGATGTTGCTGGCAATATCCTTACGGAATGTTTATGGGGTGCTTCTGGTATGGATTCACAAAATTGTTACAAGTCAATGATTCTGTATCATCAGAATGCTCCCTGTTGGAATGAAATGTTACGTTTAAGTGTACCCATTGACAAGTTTTCTACCGCTCATGTGCGCTTTGAATTTCGTCATTGTTCGACGAGAGAAAAATCAGATCCAAAATTATTTGGATTTAGTTTTGCTCGTCTAATGGATCCTAGTGGTGCTACTTTGGCAGATGGCCAGCATGAATTGTTTGTGTATAAATGCGAAGACCCATCGAAGTTAATGACAGCTAACTATTTGATATTACCTTGTAAGCCAAAAGATCCACATGCTAAGGTGGAGTGTAGTTCAATATTCCATAGAAGTTCGAAAGAAGTGTTCGTAATGAGATCTTTATTATGTTCCACCAAACTAACGCAAAATGCTGATTTACTATCACTGCTGCAGTGGCGTGCTCACCCAGAAAAAATACAGGACTCCTTAACTGGCGTTTTACGTTTAAATGATGAAGAACTGGTGAAATTTTTACAAGATGTTCTGGATGCTCTTTTTGCCATGTTTTCCAATGAGGAGGGCAATAGCACACAACATTCTGGTCTTGTATTTCATGTGCTTGTCAGCATATTTAGTCTGTTGCAAAGCAATAAATTTCAACATTTTCGTCCCGTTATGAATGAGTACATTGAGAATCATTTTGCCGCTGCTTTAGTCTATAAAGGTCTGATAACCTCTGTAGAGCATATGGCTGTTTTTATGACAAAAGCAGAACATCCTGATCCGTTTCAGAAGTGTTTCGGTTCTTTAGAATATATTTTCAAACTTTTGATTCAGTCTAGAAAATTATTTGCTCGCGCTACTGGTGGTCAATATGAGGATTCATTTCGTAGAGATTTACACTCATTATTTACGGCTTTAAATGGTATGTTGGCAGTACCGTCATATGATGTTATTATACCCACCCAGGAGGCTTTATTAAATTCAACTGGTGTTGTATTGGAACAATTAAAAGATACTCTGCCAGCACCAGAACTAGGTATGCTGGCTCGGAATATGCTAGATGCCATACCCAGGGATGCACCAATACGTTTGGTGCAGGCAAAACTTCAGGCTGTAAAGGATTTAGTATCAGGTGAACTATTTCACGAGGATGGTAAGTGAAATAATGTTTTTAGAAGTAATCATTATTCGAAAAATAAAAATGTGTAATACATTTTAGATTCCCGGACTGTTATCCTATCTGTCGCCTGTAAACACTTACGCATGCATCTAAGCCGTCGTGATGAACTAAAACTTTGTGCCGAAATTCTATCGGAAATTCTAACACATCTCTACGATTTGCAAAAGGAACAAAAAGATAAAGTCACAAATACCTTGCAGCATGACTTGGACTCGTTGTGTAAAAATATTCTAGGAATTTTAATTAAAACCATTATTATAATTTTGGAAGGAACAAATTCTGTGCTGCCACAACTAGTGGCTTGTTTGTTAGGTCTCCTACAGCTTTTAGATGAAACACATTACAAACGTTATTGGGACGAGTTAAGTCCCAATAAAGATCCACGGGATCTTAAGGAATTTTTAGGCAAATCATTATTAGTATTTGAAGAATTACTGTCACAAGATTGGTTGGTATTTCCCACAGACTGGTTAATCATGAAGTTGGCCTGCAATGATGTACTACGCAAATCCTTGGAAGAATTTGCAAAGCCTCTGGTATATCGCTTCTTGGGATCAAAATCATTTGATTCTCAGCTGTGGTGGTCTTACTTTAGTTTAGCGGTAACATTCTTAACTCAACCATCACTACAATTGGAAAAATACCGTGAACCAAAAAGACGCAAAATTTTACATTCTCATGGTGATATGCGCGTTTTAATGGGTTTCCAAATACTAAGCATGTGGTCACAACTGGGAGAACAAAAACTACACTTTATACCCTCAATGGTGGGTCCATTTTTAGAAGTCACTTTAGTACCCGAACCGGCTTTAAGAAAAGCCACATTAACAGTATTTTATGACATGATGCAGTGTGAACAGGTAAATTTTTTCTTAGTTTTACAAACAACCAAATTTTTTAGATCCGCTTCAATATTAATTTAATTTTAGAGTGCTCGTGGTTCTTTCCGTTTAGTTGAAAGTGAACTTATTGATAAATTAGATTTATTAATAAGTGAAAATAAAGGCGATGATGAATATCGTGAACTTTTCAGCACCATGTAAGTTTTTAATATTATTTATACAATTTATTCACATGCATATTGATATCAAAATTGACTGTTGTAAATCTTATGTTATACGTAATTATTTATTTCTTTTGTTGTATTAAAAAATTATTACTTATTAAAAGCTTTTTCATATATTCATTGCTAACCGTATACAAATATACCATTTTCTATAACCATTATGCATTCACCAAACTAAAGGGAACATCTAAGTTTAGTGTAAGTTCAATTTACTATTAAATCATCATTTTGCTTTGTAGATTTTTAAAGCCGCATTCATCGCTTATTTTTATTTATTTATTAATTCATTTAATTTTTATTGTTTTATTTTTATCACCTACATATTACTTTTTATATCTACCATCAAAAAAGATGTGTAATTCATCGAAATATTAGCCATGTCCATCCGTCTGTTGGAATGAGCAAGAGCGCGGAAATTTTTTCATTAGCTTTAAACAATTTCTGTTTTTGTTTAAATTGGTAACAGCGCTCCACGATTCCATATATTCCCCCATCATAAAAATATCCTTCCAGAATACTGATTAATCAATTATGAATATGTTAATTATTCTATCAGTCGTCATAAAATATTACATTGACGGAATTATTACCATAAAACATGCTACTTTTGATACCAAAATTTCTTGAGGATCAGGTCCTAATTGAACCCTACCCCCACATAACATCTAAAACATAAAAATTAGAATACATTATCTTAAAAATGAGTTAATCATAATAAAAAATACCGAAAGTATCGATACATGATAGGACCACATTCCGAAATTTACTATACATGTTTTGATGGTGTTTATATACGATTTGGCATAGCCGAATATAACACTCCTACTTGTGAATATATCTTTAAATATCTCGTTAGAAGAAAGTTCAAAAAATCTTATAAAAAAGACGAATGAAATCTCCATTGAAATCGGAACTTCCATAACTTTATTTAAAATCCTTTGCAATTAGACCTTTTAACACATTTTTGATTTCAGATTCAACACTAGCATACTATGTATTTATCAACTTATAAAAGTTAATAATAATGATCAAATTGTATAATCTTAAAGTAACACCCGATTTCCATATTTTAAAATATTTCTATAAAAATTCCTAATTTACAAATATAATTAAAAATTTATTAGATTTTATAATTGTATATAAAATTATATAAATTCTATATTTAATTGATCAGATTATATATTAATTGCAATATTTTCTTAAAAAGTCTTCTCGAAAAAGTTCAAAATGAAAATCCAACCTGGAGAGATGCTGGTACGGCTTTTATTGCTTCGGTAACACGACTATTAGAACGTTTATTGGATTATCGTAGTGTTATGCAGGGTGAAGAGAATCGTGATAAACGCATGTCATGTACAGTCAATTTGCTGAACTTCTATAAAAATGAAATCAATCGCAAAGAAATGTATTTAAGGTAATATATATTTTTCAAGACAAAAATATGTACATATGTTTAATGAAAAAAATATTTTTTTCAGATACATTTACAAATTACATGATTTACACTTACAAGCGGAAAACTATACTGAAGCAGGTTTTACTTTGAAGCTCTACGCGAACATGTTAACGTGGGATCGTGAGTGTATAGTGGCTTTGCCTAACGATACTGTAGGAGAACCGGAATGGCAGCGTAAAGAAAAATTATATCATCAGGTAAAACTAAACTTTACATTCTTCTAAATATTTTTATAAATAGATATTCCAATTTTCTTATTTTAGATATTAAAGTATTTTGATAAAGGCAAATGTTGGGAGAAAGGTATACCCTTGTGCAAAGAATTAGCTTTACTATATGAGACTCGTCGTTTCGATTATAATAAACTGAGTGAAATTTTAATATTAGAAGCAAAATTCTTTCAAAATATTTTAACCCAACTAAGACCAGAACCGGAATATTTCAGAGTAGGTTTTTATGGTTTAGGATTTCCGTTATTTGTAAGAGTAAGTAGACTGCTCGTTTTTAACAGTAGTAAATAAAAATGTTCATTAAAAATATCCATTGATTTTCAGAACAAACAATTTGTTTATCGTGGCTTGGAATATGAACGCATTGGTGCATTTACACAACGCTTACAAACCGAATTTCCAACTGCACAAATTTTAACTAATAATAGCCCTCCGGCCAATTCCATCCTCACTGCTTCGGAGCAATATATACAAATTAGTTATGTGCGTCCCGTAGCGGATGCTCAAGCTTTAAAATCTGCCATGGTTACAGTTCCCGAGAAAATCGCTCGTTTTTATGAAGTAAATGATGTTAGTCGATTTATATCCGATCGTCCCATCTACAAAGGTACTGTAGATAAAGATAACGAATTCAAGTCTTTGTGGATAGAACGTACTACACTCGATATAGCCAGTCCATTGCCTGGTATATTAAGATGGTTCGAAGTAAAACATAAATCCGTGCAGGAGTTAACCCCAGTAGAATTTGCTTGCGAAACTATGAACAATGTGGGCAAAGAACTTTGGGATTTAATAGTGCAATATCGCAATGATCCTAAGCGTAATATAAACCCATTTTCTATGCGTTTACAGGGGATTATTGATGCTAATGTTATGGGCGGTATAAGTAAATACCAGGAGGCCTTTTTCACCGAACAGTTTCTTAAATCACCCCAAGGTGAGGGGCAACAGGCCAATGTACAAAAACTTAAGTCCTTAATTTTGGAAAAAATACAAATTTTAGACCAGGCCCTTGAACTTCACGGGCAACTGGCACCTCCGGGTGTGCAACCATTGCACAATCGCTTATTGGAAAGATTTTCTCAGTTAAAACAAAGCCTTTCTGGCTTAGGCCGTCTGAAGAGGCAATATTCTGAAAGTATTGTAAATACTCCGCTACCACCATTGCCTACAGAAAAACGAACTATGAGTTTAGGCACTAACAGTGGTCCCACCTCACTGATATCGGCTTCAAATTACTATGAACACGATGAAATATATACCAGGCCCGGTGAAACAAGACCTGTCGAACCCTGTAATTATAACAATTCCTATCAAACCTTAAGCAAGGAAAATTTGAACATTGTTGGTGATATAAGAACAGAAGCGCAAAATGCTCCTCCTATACCTAATCGTCCTCGATCTCAAAACTTCAGTTCAAACATGTCCTTGGATGGGCCTGAAGTTCCACCCAAACGCAATATAAATTTGCCGGGATCTCCAGGTGCGCCCCCTTTACCGCCGAGGGGCATAACACCCGACAAACGAGCCTCAAATCCCATGGTATTTAATGATTTTTCTACAGATTCGCCTGTATCTAGTATGCCACGAAGACCACATTCCACATCGCATCAACATAATCAAAAATATGCTGTTGTCGATATCAGTTTCGATGATCCCGAAGCTGATCAGGCTCCACATTCTTTAAATCATTCACATAACTGTCACAATTCTGACTTAAATCATTTAAATGTTGCATATGTTCCCAATGATTTTCGGGATTCAGGCATATCAACTGCTAGTGCGCACGAATTGAATCATTTAAATAATTTAAGTGAAGAATCTTCCTCAAATTCCTTAAGCACCGTTCATCATCGTGATCATTGTCGTATGTCTTCTAATGGCAGTATGGATGGTTCATATGCCATCAACTCATTAAACATAAATCAACGTGAGAATTCAACCAGTTCATTTGATTTAGAAGAAGTGCCCATGCCGCCACCACCCATACCCCCAAAATCGTTAAACATCATAGCCACTCATGAGTCATCCATTGAATCGGGCCCATCTACACCACCGGCTTTAACAAATCAGGCACAAAACTCAAATCATTCCCACTTACACCATCATCATCATCACCACCTTCATCAACAACCAAATGGTCACAATGATGGCTATGTTTCACCCAAAGCCACATCTGTGACTACATCCCACGATATAAATGAATCTCAGGGTGATGTTGGCAACACTTTTTGAGTTACAATATGTCGCTGCCACCAATCACCAACATCTACATCTAGTATTGAAGTTAACACGACTACAGAAACATCATCATCGCCTACAACCTCACCACCACCAACCAAAACAATGTTTACCGAACAGGCAGTCGTACATGCATCTCAATCAATGACTTCTTTGACATTAAATACGAACACCACACAATCACCCAATCAAAATCTCATTCACCAAAGTCAACAGCAACTACCCAAACAGCAACAGCAAGACAAATATAACTTTCATTATCATCATCACCATCACTCTCCCCATCATTCATCATCCTCTCAGCAAAATACTCAACAGCAGCAGCATCATTCACATCAGCACAACCATAATTATCATCGCCAAAACAAACAAGTACATACATTGCCATCATCTCTGCCCACTTCTATGGAATCATCAATTTCACGTCGGAATTCAATTATAGAACATTGTTCCTGTGGTCTTACATTTAAAGTTGATAAAAACACAAATAACATTATAACATCATCCACCTCTCTGCTAACGCTCAATACAATATACAACGAAAATCCAACCTTAATTGATCAAATAAACAATCAGGGATCCCTAACACAATCGCAGAATATACTGCAGGATGCAAAACACCATCAGAAACATCGTCAACAGCAATCACAACAACAGCATCAGTCATTTAACAAACACAATTATCATCAACAACAACATCATGCTCATCACTGTCATCATTATCAAACTCCATCGTCAGGTGGAACAGTAACTGTTGCAACTGCTCCAGTAACAATACCTCGTTACAAACCATCAGAACCACCGGAAATTCATACTCATGAATATTTCTCACAAGAATCTCAATCTCAAGATCACACCACAACAATCACAAATACGACTGCATCATCCGCAGCATCAATAAATGCTTCTTTTACTACACCACATTCGCATGGTTGTCGTCACTCACATGTTCATGCCCAAACCGATTTCTCATATGGCCAGCGATGACATGCTTAAGGAACTAAAATAGAAAATAGGAAGAGAGGCGTAAGTAAAGAATAATTTACATATTAAAATAATACTAAAAATTATACTACATGATCTAAAAGTATTAAAAGATTCATAGAAAATATTTCGAATGATATGGTATGTGTTCGAAAATGCTATGAATCTTCTCCAATTTGTAGCAACAAGTGAAAACTTATGTGTTTTAATATTTTTTATTAAAATCTTTAAAAAATGGAAAAAATAGTAACTATAAGTAGCAACTAACAAAAAAAGTATAAAAGTGTAGTAATAGCTCTTGTAGTTCTAAATTAATTCAAAATAGTTCTCAAACAACTAACTGTTCAACACAAGTTTTTCCTTAGATATTTGTAAATTTTCTAAATGCAATTCGAATTATTCAACAGAAAGAGTTTCGACACCATATCACTTCTAAAGAATCAGTCTGAAGGTAAAATTTCGAACAGAATTCATCGATCTCAAACTAGAACAAGTACAGGCTATAGTCATGTGTTGCAGTAGAATATATAGTTGTGGAACTTATACAACAAAAACCGAAAAAAAACAATCTATGTATTTATAAAAGACTTACATCTTCCATTTCTAAAGTTTTCCATTTTATTTTTCAAGCGATTTTTTTAGAAAGTTTTTATTTTTTAATTCGAAATATTTTTAACCATTCTTTCTTTAACTAATTTTTCAATAATTGAATTGATAGTTTCACTTTTCTGCGAAGCAATATTATTTTATATTCTATCTAAAAAAATTTATCAGCTATTATTTTATTAATATAAAACACATAATAGTTATTATCTTCCTATAATGCCAATCATTAGAAAAAAAAAGTTATTTCAAATCAAGTCATCATAGTCTTCACAAACATGCGTTTACACAGTAAAATAAATTTAAACAGAAATTAAAAATATAAATAAATATTTACTGTTTGGAATTGTAACTAAAATTAAAAAGTTACTAAATAACAAATAATAGACCTATATTTAATTAAAAATTATTAACAAAGAACAAACAATTTAATCAAAAAAGTTTCTATTCCTAACTGAAGAAAGAGAAAAAAAAAACAATTAATTATCAACATCAAATTATAATCCAATCATTAACTAAGTATCAAAATATTAAAAAATATAATCGAAAGTTGTGAAATTCGTATTGAAGAAATAAATTTAAATTAAAAAAACTCTTTAAAAACGAAAATGATTGTAACACCACATTTTTTTATATAAAATTATAAGTAGTTTACAAAATAAAAAATTATATATAGAATTTAAAAACGAAATATTGTGCAATGCAGGCATTACTTTATAAACATAAAAAACTCATGTTAAAATAGTTTAAACAAAATTTTGTATTATTCATAAAATTATGTATTGCTAATAAAATAAAACAAACTTTTTTATATATTTTTATTTAGGTTCTTTGTAACTATTTTATAGATTTCATAAAAAACATACATACATATGAATATGTCAAACAATTTATTTTAAACTTACATTCTAAAAACCAATTATATATTGATATACCACTAGTCAGTCAAATATATTTGAAAAAATAAGTGAAACAAACGAACAAAAAGTGCATAATTCCAAATATCATAGTTTTTACGTTTAATTGCAATAACAAAAAAAAATAATAATATTACTTTAATTAAGTTTAAACAATGAAATACATACATTATATTAAACCTATAATATGCATATTAATTAATATATACACAAAAATAAATTCAAATGAAAAAATGTTCATGATTTGTTTTATTAAGGATTAAAAAAGTAAAAAACAATAAAGAAGAATTTAATTTAAAATAAGTTCGTGGCATACTTTTAGGTGCTCAAATGTGACTAAATTTAGCGCCATCTATTGTTTCAGAATATTACGTTTACGAATAACAAAAAATCACTTTAAAAATCTGGCAACGCTTATACTGATTTTGGTATATGTTTAAAGAGTTACCAGACTACGGAAAATGACTATCAAAAATGGTTGAAGAGTTGCCATATTATTAAAATCAAAATTTTGCATTTAAGAATGAAAACATGTCGAACAATAGATGGCACTAAATCAAGGCAAAAATACGCCTAAAAGTATGTGGAGCAAATCGTCTGTTTACAACTAAATTACAAAGTCTAGAAGCGTTTTTTAGCTGTTTACATATTAATGTTCTCCAAAAAGATAAAAAACACACATTAAATTTCTAAATATATAGGTATGTATTTATTTTAGTAATGTGATAATTTCCGCAGAGTAATATAATAACAAACACAAAAATTACATAAAATTTCATCAAAATATTAAAGTTACAAACAAATCAATTAAAAAAATACTTAAAATTAGGCCTTATTAATACCGGTTAATTCTTTCAAATTATTTATTAAATATTTGTTATATTCCTTGTAGTTAATGGGCGTAGCCGACTGAACTGTCAATTTGTTGCGAGACATATCCTAGAGGTGATTCAATAAAAATTAATTATAAAAAAATATTACAATAGAAGACTACCACCAGCTACTTACTCCATATGTTTCAACTTTTGAGCGTAGTTTGAATGTGTATGAATGGAAATTTATGGAACTGAAGATTTCTTCTGCTTCGGTAGGATTGTTATCCATTGCATCACCAATTTCCTGAGCAGAACGTCCCAAGAGCTGTTCAGCCAAGTCACTGAAACATGTGACCCATCGATTTGAAGTCCAATCACCAATGCTCATCTAAATTAAAAATTATATTAATAAAAAATATTTCAGAAAAACATATGTAGTTGAAAATCTATACTTACATTGACCAAAAGTCTGTATTTAAAGTTTGGAAATACAGCATTACACTTTTCACAACGATAATGACCATTGTTTTCATCCACAACTTTTTTATTACATTCGGCTTGGGGACAAGCTTTGTAGTAAGCATTTTGGCTTTTAATAAGATGTACAACTGCTTTAGTTTGGAAGTAGTCTGGCTTATCGCCAGTTCCCAAGTCACGAGCTTCATGGAATGTACGCCATTCAGTGTTATAGCCTCCACCTCCAGCACCAGTTCTACAATTTCATTTGAATTAATAATTATGAATATTCCAATAAACCATATAAAACTTACCTGGCCGAAATAGAATTTACGATATTTTCACCACCGCCATTATCAAACCATCCACGCAATTTATGACATTCTGGAATATCCGGGTTTATCTTCATAACGGAACCATTGCCCAAACTTAAAGATTTGCCACCATTAAATTCACTAACTCTGGCTCCTTTTACAAGGATAACAGGTTGAACATGACCATCAAAATTGACGGCATCATCACCCCATATGGTCAATGATACCGAAGCATCACTGGTATCAACTAGGAGCAAATCACGCTTTTTAAATTCCTTATTGGTGTTCTTTGAAGTAAAGACTTGTAGTTCACCAACATCTTTGCACACACCAATACAATCAACTGCAGCTTTTGGTTCTAAATTAGCCACTTGGGAGATTGGAACAAAGTCGTACTTAATTTCTGGTATACCAGAACCATCATCATCTTCACATGCTTGTACAACGGTATCATTTGTGAAAGTCATTTCATAATCATTTTTCAATGTTGAATATTGTTTATTTGCCGGCTTGAGTTGGCATTTGGAAATAAAATAAACCTTATCGACTTCCATAAATTCATAGTACTTATCAACTTGTTCGCGGAATGCGGTAGCACGTATCTCACCAGAATCATCCATTAAATCAATGCTAAATAATTTGCCCTCCCCTTTAGCATTGCTCCAAGTACGTATTGGTGATTTCGACATAACTCGAGCCTTTATGACCCATTTATTTTGATAAGGACTCAAACTTGCAATGGGATGTGTTAGGCCTGCATTTAATGTTTGATCCATAGTATTATTGTTGTTGTGATTGGTGTAGCTTTCTTTTTTAGCAACTGGTGCAGGAGCTGCTGCTGGTTTTGGAGCTGAAGTTTCCTGTGAAGCTTCTGTATATGAGACAGGTTCGCCAATTTTTTGTTGTACTTGATCACCAGGATTTAAAACAGTCATCTCCAAAATTATAAGAACACGTCTATCGATATCAAATAAGAAATATAAATTATATGGCTTGTACCTAAATACATCATTAATGCAATAAATTGGTTTAAATTTTTAGTTTAAAGCAAGGACCTTAAAGTAAAAACCTCTTTCTATTGTTAACTCTTGCTTCAAGTTAATTTTTTTAACAAATTTCACTACATAATTTTTGCAAACTTTTAATTAATTGTAAAGACAAAGAAATTGCAAATTCGACATTTAAAGCGTGAAAATTTGCTTAAACTATAATTTGTTAGACAAATTTCTTTTTACAAAGTTGGGTTAATTAAGTTAGTTCTAAAAGTATAAACTTATAAATTACGTCGTTGTGATCGCAATTTTTTTTAACAAATTTAAAAAAATATTACAGATTTTGTTGATATTTTTTTAATAAATTCAATTGAAAGCAACGCAATTCTAAATGACGGTTTGAATAAGTATGTAGTTTTAGTGCATATAAATAAAACAGCTACCACTGCAGAATTGCCTAGAACTGAAACTTATACAAACTATACTTTTCCACTATCATTGTCGAATAGTAATATAAAATATCTTTACTAAAAAAACTATTCTATCTATACTAAATAATAGTTGTAATTATATCCAAAAATTAATATTAAAGAATATCTGGGCAGGACACCTATTTTTTCAAAATTAATATATGTATTAGATTTAGGGCGTTGCCACTGTATAGCACTATTATTTTCATCCATAAGGTTAACTCTTAAATTTGTTACATATATGGATGAAAATAATAGTGCTAGGTAAATTTTCTAAAAGATGTTTAGTTTTCCCTAATTAATTTGTCACTTAAAAAACATTAGGTAGGCATGTTATATATCAATGGAAAGGTAATTTTGTCTATTTTTCAAAACTGTATTTAATTTTTGAAAATTAAAAAATTCGCGGAATACTTTTTTTAAAAAAAATTTAAAAATGTTTTTTATTCAGTTTTTGCGAAGATACAAATTTTTCAAATTGCAATAAAAAATTTTATTTATGAATATTTTTTGATGAAATTTTACAGTTAGGTAGATTTTTTTACTTAAAATCCAAAATTAAATAAAAATTTCGAATTTTCTTATTAGAAATCCCGGAATTCTCAAAAAAGTTTTAAAAAATCCCAAAAATGGGATTTTTTGGTTTTTTGCCTATTATATCCATACCAGGGGCGGGGTTATCGAAACCCGTTACAAAATGATTAAGAACATATTGGGTCATATAAAACAGGTCACTATAATTTGAATTTTCCATAAAAAATAGGGTTTTTTTGGATGGACCTGGTCCCCTCGATATCAAAAATTTTTAGGTTTTGTTTCATTTATCGTACTTTATGTAAAGTCAGCTTTCCAAAAAGTATAAATTCTATATACATCTTCTTAGAAACTTTTTAGATAACTTAAAAAGAAAAAGATACTTTTTTCCCAAAAAAATGACAAAAAATCGCCTTTTTTTTATTTTTTAAATTAAAATGCCTATAACTTTGGACTCAGTCATGATTTTTACATAATTCTTTCACTGCTTGATATATAAACTTGTTGTTAAGCGAATAAAAAAAAGCGAAAATCGGGAATATTTGGACCCGCTATTATCAAAAAAAATAAAGTAAGGACGGTAAAAATTTAAAAATTTTAATTTTCAAATGCGAATATCTCCTAAACTATAAGAGATAATTTACTGCTACGACTCGATGAGGAGATTCTATATACGAAATTTTTTTTAAATCGGAACTCAAATGAAGAAATAGGATCGTTTTAAAAATTTAACATAGCCGAGGTGTCCTAATTTGAGGACCCCCCGCCGGGCCCCTGGTTGGCCTATAAGGTCCAAATTCAAAACCTAAACTCGACAACACCTCTTTGTGCATACCAAATTTCATTAAAATCGGATTAACCGTTTAGAAGTTACCGAATTATTTCCCTCTTTTTTTTTTCCTATACCACTGTGCGTTGTTATTCCAATTTTTGTTTTATTTAATTTTAATTCATTAATATATTTCGGATGTTGTATATAATAAAATATTTAAAACACCTTGTAACTGGGATAGTCAATTGTGGATAGTCAATGGGATAGTGAATTGTGGCCCAAAATAATGAGATTTCCTAAAGAGTGTTAGACTCACATATAGTTTTTGTATGTCATATATTTTCAAGTTAATTGTAAACGTTAAAGGTATTTTCTAAAGTATATACCTATTGCTATATGGCTAGGTTTTGATTTTTAATAAGCATTACATTACGCGACGTATAATTAACATTCACCACAAATTTTCAGGAAATTTCTATTAGGTCTAGGCTTAATCAAGGACCGATTTAAAAATTTTCAATTCTGAGACTTTTGGTCATATCTTGAGGAGGTTGTAGAATGTCAGCGCAAACATAAAATAAACATACCTACTTCGTATGAGGTGATGTTCATACATTCATATGTATGTATGTATTTCACAATATTATAAAACTTTTTTTCCAGCAACAATGCAATTTTTCCTACAAGCTATGTAATAAATATACATACATTTTATATTATATATACTTTTATATTGCACATTTATGTACATATATACAGATACATATTTAATAACATATGTATATACTAATAATTAATGTAAGTACTTACTTTCCAGCATCACTTTTATTAACAACCGACGTAATGTACTTGTCAACTCTTACAATGGAGTTATCCTTAAGTTTGCCATCACCGAATGTAGCATTTAATTGCGATGCCAGCATCGCAAAGCTATTGAAATATTGGCTGTCTGAGATCAAAAGACGCAAGCGGTCAGAGTCCCGGATACGTTTGGCACAAAGGATTTGTAGAACTGGAGAATCTACCTCTTCCCCAGCCATAATGCGCTAAAAAAATTGCAAATAAAATAAATATTTGTTCAAAAAAAGTACATATACTATAATACTAGAAACGCAATTAAAATCTTACAGGAATGACGCCTTTAGAGAGAGATGCTATGCCGGGCATTTTCGTTTAACTATTAAAGTTTTCAGCAAAATATTATAAAATTACTTTGTTAGTTTGACAAATATGAATTTTAATTAACAATAAAAAAATTTTTCTCAAGCTATTTTCAAGAATTTCACAATTACTTTTTCGTGCACTTTTTTGTTTGGTAGTTTGTTGTAGAATGCGTGAAAAATTTGCGACAAATTAAATCAGGCGGGAATCAAAAGCCTGCGCCGACAAACATTAGCTAAGGCGGCAAAATTTCGGCGGCGGCTTAAAATCGTCAGTGAACCGGCTAATGCCATGTTTCCATTGAGGCGATTTGTGCAAATCTAATCGTTTTGGTCAAAACTAGTTGAAATCATGATACAACCATAGAAAGGTAGAATCAGTAGGGAGAGTTGTCAATTCTCTGCCTTGTTAAGTCAAACAAAAAAGAACTAAAAAGAGAAAAACTTAAAAATCTTCAAATTAAAACCACGAAAAATACCATGAAATGATTCTTGAACGGCACAGGCAAACAGCATTCCACACTTCTCTATCTTGTTTTTGATTTTTATTGGTTTTACAATAGTTTTTATTCAAATTATTCAATTTTAAAAAATTTTCACTAATTTTTATTTGATGTTTTTCTTTATATTTTTTAATTTTCTTTTTTGTGACAATTCAAGGCATGTAAAATTGAGAACGTACTTTTCTACTGATTCTACCTTATTATTGTTTTATTATAGTTGAAATCATATAATAGATTTCGCGTACATTTTTGACAGATCCAATCTGTATTATGTATTCCTTCGTACAAATTACAATTTTTAAATCAGGGGCATTTTATATAAAATTTGTGTACATGTGATGTTGCATCACCCTCGCACTTATGAATTCTATCGACTTTAAAACATATATTTGAGCTGCTCACTCTTTTGTTGTTTACTAATCATGGATGATATAAATATTAGTCATGATTGACTAATCATGCTTGATGGATATATCCATTACAGTTAACAAATAAAAAAATGATGCATTAATCGGTCATTGTTGACTAATCACACTTGATGAATATATCCGTCAAATCTGACGGCTATACCAATTTATAATAAAACACAATTTATTGATATTTTAATATATATATATTGTTAATTTTTTTAATATAGTAATCATATACATAAATTACCAGTCTTTTCACCATTTTACATAACTCGCAGAATCTTAAGTCCTCTGATGCTCCTATTAATTTGTGGAAATAAGTTGTCTGTAAAGAAATACATAAGTATATCGAAATATAAAAATCATAAGTACATATTTATGTTACCATTGATTGATTAAACTCCGAATTGTTTATCTTCTGATCCACTTCCTGAACTTTTTTAAAATTTAGTTTATAATAATTCTCTTTATTTTTAATAATTTAAAGACTTTGTAATTTTTTTATTTTTTCGCTTCTTGATCTTTGGCTTTCGCAGAAACAATTAATTTGTAACGACGAAAAATACAACTCTGTAACAAAATGTAGTTGTTTCATTCTTTCATATGCAAATTCAACCCTATACCACACATTGGGTCCAGTAACGGTCATTTTACCGGTCATTTGACTGTCATTGTTGATGGAATCATCCATTAAATTTTTTTTTCGACAATTCTTTAAAAAAAATCTTGCGTGTGTGTTAGTAAAATCATTTTGTATGTGTTAGTTTCGGTCATTCATTTCTTATAGGGCAATTAAACCCGTAAGTTTTTTTAATGTTTAAATTAAAAAAAAATTATTTTATTTTCGTTATATGACAGGATTTGTTCGAAAATTCGAATCTCAAAAACGAGTGAGCTCAGTGGAAACACCAATAGAAACATAGCATAAAATTAACTTTTTTGTCGATATATTAAAATAAAATAATACCCAATTTACACATATGTACACGAAATCTAGTACTTATGAGATTTCGAGCCAAATCTAGTTGATTTTAACTAGATCTCCTATACAAAACAAAATCTACTTCGTAACTAGATTTCGTTAAAATCTACTCAAAATCTAATAGTTTTTAGTGATGCAACTCCGTTTTTCCCTAAATAATATTAAAAAAATACGACGCTACACAAGAAAAAAGAGAAAAACAAAATAAACAAAAAAAATTAAATAAAAAGTTGACAACATTTTTTTAAATTGAAAAACTTGAATGAATTCATTAAGTTCATCTAATATTAAAGGTCAGGATGCACTAAGTAAGGTGAAATCGTTAAGGCAGCTGATTTTTATTTTTTTATTTAAAAAGTGCTTGGGTTGTGTCAAAATGAATGAATTTATTTTTATTCTAAAAAAAATTATATTTGTGTTTTCAAAGCAAAAAAATTTAAATTTAAAATTATGAATTAAAATGTTTATGGAAAGTTTTCAAATAAGAAAACTCAGATGAAGAAGCATAATAAATTACAAAATATAAAAGATAACATTCAATAAAAATATATTAAAATACTACTTTTTGTTAAGTTCATCTGGTTTACAGCTAATTTCAATGTAAACTGACGAGTACGGGGACATTCGTTATATGGTAATTCAAAAATACAAAACTAGATGAATGTTTGCTGGGAAACTTTTAAAAGAGACAATGACTGTCGGTAATACAGTTCAAACATCTGATTCCAAATTTGTAAACAAAACGTTTTGTTGAAAACGCCGCAAAACATAAAAAAACATGGTAAATACTTACATTATTTTTTTTTAATTAAACAATTAATTATAATATTTTTTACAGGCTCGTAATGCTGAAAAGGCTATGTAAGTAAAACTAATAGCATTACAAAAATTGTCCACAATAAAGATAACTATTTTCTTAGGACCACCTTGGCCCGTTGGCGAGCGGCTAAAGAAATTGAATCAGGTGAAAAAGATAGACGTCCCTACTTGGCTTCAGAGTGTAATGATCTGCCAAAATGTGAAAAATATCGTCTAGAAATCATACGAGAAATTTCCAACAAAGTGGCCCAAATACAAAATGGTAAGATCTTTTGGGGAATTGTGTATAATAGGTACTATGGTCATATTAAATTTAATTTTCCTTTCATAGCTGGTCTTGGTGAATTTCGCATACGTGATTTGAACGATGAAATTAATAAATTACTTAGAGAAAAACGTCATTGGGAAAATCAAATATCAGCTTTGGGTGGACCTCATTATCGTCGTTATGGTCCCAAAATGTTTGATGCCGAAGGTCGTGAAGTTCCCGGCAATCGAGGTTACAAGTACTTTGGGGCTGCAAAAGATTTACCAGGTGTTCGAGAACTGTTCGAACAAGAACCACCACCGCCACCACGCAAAACTCGAGCTGAACTCATGAAAGATATAGACGCCGAATATTATGGCTATAGAGATGACGATGATGGTATTTTGATGCCCATTGAAGAACGTATTGAACATTTGGCTATTCAAAAAGCTGTTCGTGAATGGAAAGAAAAAATGGCCCGCGATGGTCATGTCGAATTGGAGGACGATGATAATGATGATGACATTTATCCCTTGTCTATACCAGCTCGAGAGGCGGCGGAAGATGCAAAGGACTCTCGAAGAGAGGAAAATCCAATGGAATTACTTGCACCTAAATTCACAGCACATGTGCCTGTACCGACACAGAAAGACATTGAGGATGCTCTGCTTCGAAAACGCAAACAGGAATTACTAGAAAAATATGTGGGTGACTCATAAAAGAAATTAAAATAATAGAAATAAGTAATTTCTTTGAACAAGTAAAATAAATTTTTGGAACAAACCTAGATCCCTAAACTTTTTTATTGCATATAATCATATATCTTATTGTATGTATGTATATAATAGAATTCTTCTGTTACTTCGGAACATGCCAAAAGAGGAAGAGTTGTTCTTCGTGTTCTTAATGAACCTAAAAACATAAAACTAAGCAATCAGGGACTTGAGTGAATGAAAATTTAAACTGGAGTATTTCTGGTAATTTTTCGTTCTTTAACTGGTACTTTTTGAATTTTCTAAAATATTGAATATATAAACATAAAATTAAACACGCAGTATCCTAATTGAACGAAAATTTATCTCGCTTACGTCCACTAAAATAGGAATAGTCTTCCTTTAGAGTTTTCATACATTCTAATAATGTTTTCAAAGTGAAACGTTTGGAATATTTTTCAATCTCTTTGTGATCCCTTTAAATGATGTTGTTCTGGAAGAACTTTAACATCCATGTAAACATTTTGGGTAATAAACTGGGGGACTACTAATGAGGGGAGCGGAACCTCTCATATGAATTAAATACAAAAATTCGTTTATCTGGGAAACTAATATAACTAAATTCTTCAAATTTTGCACGAACAACTTTAATATTCATCTGAACATTTTGGAGAAAAAAGGGCGGACTTTCATCTGGGGGGCTTGGAGCTCCCATATGAATTAAATAGAAAAATTCGTATATCTGAGAAACTATTAGAGCTAGAATCTTCAAATTTTACTGAAGAACATTTAGAGAATAACGGGCGGACTTTCAATGGGGGGCTTGGCACTTCCCATATGAATTAAATACAAAAATTTGTATATCTAGAAACTATTAGATTATTCAAATTTTTCATAGATTAAATTAAAATCTTAATTAACGTTCGGAATAATTGGCGAAATTGCAATAATTTGCGTGGAATCTCCCATATGTAACAAATTGTATATCTGGAAAACCATTGTAGTTAGAATCATCAAAATTGTTAAGTAGGCTTCTTATTTATATTGCTTTTAGGGTAGCACAGCACACTGGGTATAGCTAGTAAATAAACAAATAAAATATCTTTGTTTTTACGTTATTGATCATTTTCTTAATGCAAAATTTTTTAGAAACTGATTTTCTGCAAGATGTTTTATATGGCAGATCCTAGTAAAACTTGGAGAAAGGATTTGTTTTTAATTTTTAAGAATTTTTTATTCATCCCTGCATAATTTCTCATGCAACTTTTGAGTTTGCTCTATTTTGTTGTTATAAACAATGTATTTGCTTCCAAAATCCTACTTTCTGATCTCTCGGATTCCGTTTTTATTTAAAATCGTTGAAAAAATAAAAACTAAACGTAGTTGAAAACTTAGCCGGCTTACAGTCGATTTTAATCCGCCGCCGACATATTTAGTGTCAGTCGCCGCCGCCGTTAATATTTGTCGACGCAGGGCTCTGCGTAGGAAACATTGATTAAATTTTTTTCTTATGTGGATTTCCAAAAATAAAACAATTGCATACTGGAATTTAAATGTTTAGTCATAAAATAATTTATTTAAATACAAAAATCATTTGCATATTAGCATTTGAATAAGAAGATTGGAACAATTAACGGAGTAAACAAAAACAATCCGTACACAGAGTGAGTCGAGTAGAGCAGATCAAAACAGACCCCATACAGCAGAAGCCACAAAAAGTTGGGACACAAAAGACATGTCCTACTTTGCTCATAGTGGAGATTTGGTTAATCTAAATGTAGGGGGTCAGAGGCAAGTGAAATCTAATTTATTTTGTTTATTGTTTTTATTACTATGTATTTGTAATTTTGTTTGATTACGTTGATGGATGATGATGTACATATGTATGTATGTACATAAATAAATATTGTATGTATAGTAATTTGTACGGTGGCGTTGGAACTTAAAAAAAAAAACTATGATAACAATTGTTGTTTTGTTTATTTTGCCTATGTGTATTATGCGATTATGCAGATGAAATGTTCGTCGTTTACCTAGTGTCCTGCTTTTTTGAAAATTTGATCAATCTATATATCCATATATACATAGCTGATGAAGAATTTTTAATGGCTCAAAATGCATGTTTTATTTTTGTTTTTAGTGAATAAATGTTGATATGTTTATCAATAAAAATAATGATGAAAAGCTATTGTTTTTTATTATCATTTTTTTAAATTTATTTAATAGATTTTCCACATCACGCCAAACTCTTACTTGGATACCGGATACATTTTTTACCGCCTTACTTAGTGGCCGCATATCTAGCCTAAAGGATGAAACAGGGGCAATATTTATTGATAGAGATCCATCATTGTTTTCTATAATATTGAATTATTTAAGAACTAAGGAAATTGATATAAAAAACTGTGAAATACGAGCTTTACGCCATGAATCTGAATATTATGGTTTGACACCATTGGTAAAGCGTTTAGCACTATGTGAAGATTTAAATCATTCCTCTTGTGGAGATGTTTTATTCTACGGTTTTCTACCAGCTCCGGCTATACCGCCTAATGATAATATTGTTGTAAATCAACAACAGGGATGTTCTTCCATTGACTCTAATTCTCCGCGTAACAATGCGGCGAATATGTCTGCGGCTCCAGTGCCGCTGGAACAATGCTTGCCATCAACTTCAACGGCCGGTTCAAATGCTCGTCCAGGTTCAATGGTGCGTGTGCCAGAACCTGCGAATATAGTATCTAATCGTCATAGCTCTCATTCCCGTAACTCATCGTGGGATTTGAGATTGGGTCGTGGGAGTTCTACTTCACAAGACAGCCGTTGCTGGTCGAATAACACTCGTGGTGAACATTCTCGAAATCCTTCTTTAGATTTTATGCGTCATTCTCGAAACTCATCGGCAGATTTAAATAAACTAATACGAAATGATGTTGGCTTAGTATTTTCGCCAACACTCAGTTCAAATTGGGTTGATCCCTTGCGTGTACAAATCATTAAGGCTCATCAAAATTGGTTTGCAGTGGCATATGCTCATTTTGTGGCCTGTTACCGAGTCAAAGATTCCAATGGCTGGCAATTGGTTTTCACTTCTCCTTACATAGACTCCACAATCGAAAGGATTGCTATAAACTCAAAGGTTAACATGTCGACGGCAGAACCTATTCCCAGCAAGATGGTGGCAATATCTTATGGCAGTCAGATACGTTTGTGGAGTATCCATGAGGGAGGAAATAAAACCGATATCGGTACATTTAATTTGAATGTACGAGTGGAGTATTTGTTTTTCATTGGCAGCCAATTGGTAGCTTTGTCATCGTCGGGCAAAATAGGTGTCTGGCATGCTATGACCCAGCACTGGCAAATACAGGATTTGGTACCGGTACTATCATTTGATTCTGCAGGTTCATTCCTACTACTGGGCTGTAACAACGGTTCCATTTATTATATAGGTAAGTTTAAACGTATTATATTTAAATAATATAAAATTTTAATATTTTTGAATAAATTACTTTTAAATGAATCATTAAATGTAAATCTTTTTTAAAAAGCTCTATCCAAAGGACGGCTATATAGGAAAGAAGCTATTAAAATATAAACAGAAAATATAATAAGTTAATTTATAACTTATTTAACTTAATTTAACTAAGTTATTTTATAACTGAACTATATTTCACTCAGTTGTTAGTAAAATGGTTTAACAATTAACAATTTTTGCAGATATGCAAAAGTTTCCATTGCGCATGAAGGACAATGATTTACTGGTAACTGAACTGTATAAAGATCCCAATTTAGACCCAATAACTGCAATTTCGGTGTATTTAACACCAAAAACTTCAAGTAAGTTGTGTTGTTTTAGGCTTTTTATTCAATTTACCTTTAACGTGTTTTATATATATTCCTGTTGTAGGCATTAGTGGTAATTGGATTGAAATTGCTTACGGTACAAAAAGTGGTGCCGTACGTATTATTGTACAGCATCCGGAAACTGCTGGTCATGGTCCTCATCTTTTCGAAACTTTCACTGTACATCAAAGTCCCGTAACAAAAGTTATGCTTTCTGAAAAATATCTAGTTTCTGTGTGCAGTGAATATCACCATGTACGGACCTGGAGTTTGACCAGATTTCGTGGCATGTTATCAACACAGCCTGGCTCTACACCAGAGGCATCTTTTAAAATAGTATCTTTGGAAGCCACAGAATCGAATTATAGTTATGTAGCTGGCAATGATTTCGGTCCCTATGGTGATTATGATGAGCAAATATTTGTACAGAAAGTTGTACCAGAAACAGATCAACTGTATGTGCGTTTAGCTTCGAATGGTGAACGGGTTTGTGTGATAAAATCTGTTGATGGTTCGTCGATAACATCATTTTGCGTCCATGAATGTGAGGTTAGCTCTCGTATGGGTTCTCGTTTCATATTGACGGGCCATTGCAATGGCAACATACAAATGTGGGATCTCACAACTGCGCTATCTTTATTTTCCAAAAAAGATGAAAGCCAATCGCAGAAAATCAATGGCGGACCCGATACCAACGAGCTACTCCGCCTACTTGACCAGTGTGAGATCAGTAATAGCCTCTGCTCAACGCCTTGTATGTCACCATGTCTCTCAGCTTTTGGAGGGATGGCAAATACCACTATAGCCCGCATGAAAGCCAGTAATTTGGCATTACTCAATCAGTCCCTGCAGCAGACATCAACGGCAGCAACAACATCTTCATCAGCACCAGCATCATCGTCATCATCCACAGCTGCCTCGTCCTCAGCTCAACATCATCACCAACAACCAGGACAATCTCAACACAATATGCCACATGGCAATGGTGGTAACATAAGTGAATGAAATACGGTAGCGACGTTTGCAGAGGCGGCGTTAGTCGGGCGTATTTATTCACAATTTTCATTTTGTCATCTTTTTATTGGTTTTAATATTTTTTGTAAATTAGTACGTGTCATGTTATGTTGCTTGTTTTACATATGTGTTTTGACGCTATGTTTCATAATAACTATCTGATGGCACCACTAAAACCACCCTAAATTAACCTTGAAAAGGTAACTCGTAAAAAATATTAAATTTAATTAGACCTATTTGATTATTACACATATTTTATACTTGTTTCACAACACATACATAACCTACATACAATATATTTTTTAAATAAATTTTTTCTATATTCTATATACACGTAGATATTTATTTTTTATTAAAAATTCTTTAAAAGAGTTCATCTACATACACATGTATTTAAACAATTCTTATTCCACAAAAAAGGTTTTAATGTAAACGAATTAAAAAAAAAAAAACATACATGTTCTTCAATCAATAAAATATAGACAATATAAAATATGAACATTCTGTTGATTTATTTAGTTATTCTAGAAATCCCCTAAATGCAGTATAAATATATAAAATCTATAAAATTTAAATTTTGTTACAATATAATGTGTAACCTCCATTCTTCAAAAGTATAAAAATACAGTTAGTAAGTTTTTTAAATACTATTAAAATAATAAATAAATAAGACTCATAATTTTTCTAACACATTTCTTTATTATTCAATTTAATCATTTGAAATAATTATTACAATTTTGAAATGAAACAGCAAGACAACACAATACATTTAAACTAAACAATTTTCAAATAACAGGACAAAAATAAATACCTATTAAACTTAAAGTTATAATATCATATCACCTAATAAATTGCTAAGAGTAAGTTTTAAATGTTGTTGGGACATATATAAATATTTTTGCTTTAAAGCTAAATTATGTTTATTTAAATCGAATGTCTTAGTTTCCAAATATATATTTAAAATTTCCTCAAAATCTGAATCTTTAATATCCTCCGATAATTGCCTAAACAAGCAGCGCACATCATTATAACTTTCGAAGAGTTCATGTAACTCTACATTAGCCTGTAGGTTGATTAAATCTTTTTCGTTTTGTGGAATGTATGATTCCAATGAATTGAACATTTGTTGGATATTTGAGGAAAATTCTTTAATTTTTAATTCAAAATATCGATTGTAATACTTCTCACGCAATTGACAGATTTTTCTAAAGCGTTCATCTATTTTGCGATACCAACCACTAAGTGTATTAAAATCGTTACTTGAATGTGGTTTGTCACATAAAGGCTTACTTATAATTGTGTGATTAATGTTGTAAGGCGTGGACAAAGACAACCCTTTCGTTGACCAATCCTTTAGCAAGGGTAAGGAAGTGCGGCGTTCTTTTTTTAGTTTTATATCCAGATTATTGTTCAAATCCTGATTTTGGTGTGGTAGAATAAAATTTGTGCAAACATTTGAAGATAAAGTTTTACGACGATTTAAATTGACCAACTTTTTGCTCAACAACAATTCTTTTCTTTTCCTGTTTTTAATCACACTATGGGCCATTTGTAGCATTTCTATTGTATCAGCTGTCATTTTAATATTGGTCGGCACATCGAATAGTAAAAGTGTGTTTAGACTGGCTATACCTTCAATGTGACCTGATAGACTTATCGTCAAACCAGAGTGTATAAAATTACAATCTAGTCCTTGGCAACCTTCACCCATATGATCCATAAATTGGTGCCAATGATTGCGATCATCGGCGCTCATTAAATCTAAATAGATATTGAAAAGCGACAATTTTACTTTAAAAAGATTTTGATGGTGGTCGACTAAAGAAAATGTAAACTGCAATTTTTCATGTCCTTTATTATCAGCAAACTTATAATTATATTCATTTAAAAGCCACAGTAGTAGATCTCTAGTAGAACGAAATTCATTTGTGGAATTTCTTTTTAATCTGAATGTTTTATCATTGTTATTGTAATCATCATCGCTATTGTCTCCTAGTCCAGCTAGATTAGCTTTCATTGTAAACCCCTTTTCAGAGGGTGCATTTTTCTTATTTCCTACGCTTCCTGCTATGTCCACACATTCCAATTTAATATATTGCAGTTTATATTTCTGATGATAAATTCGCTTATTAAGAAATGTTATAAAGAGATCAAAGAATATGGTAATATCCATTTCTTGCTTAGTAGCAAAACGCATTATACAAGTATTTTTATGTTTCACCAGAAGATCATCCATTACTATTGCTAGTTCACATTTGATCATTTCCACCGTAGAATGACTGACGTGATCGAAATGCATCTTATGGGAAATGTTCGTGAAAGGGCCATCATCTTCTTCAATCGATAATAAATTTAATTGCAAGGATTTGTCATCGATTAATAAGACCTCGGCTTTCGTGTTATCATATGCCGGATTATCGTTTAAGGATTGTAAAGAACGTATCGGTGGTGAAGGTTGTACCACATGTCGATTTATATTTCGTTTTATTCCCTTCCTGCCAATACATTTGAAATTTGAATTTTGATCCTCTACATCTTGTTCATTAATGTGGATAACAACACGTAAATTATTTAAACTTTTATTAGCACTCATAATAATTTTGTTTTTAAAATTTGTTTAATAGATGCAAAATGATTTTTTTTATGTATTAAGTAATCTTTTTATTTTCTTTGAGTTTTGTTTCTCTTATTTAATAACGGCTTAAAAAATATATACATAAATGAAGATAATAGATGATTTTAGCACATAAATTAACCCATGTTTAAAGCAAAAACTGAAGATCTGTGTTAACCCATTAGATCGTAATTACCTTAATAATAAAATTAAATTTATTGCTGTAATATGTGTCTTATTATGGGTTAATATCAGAGATGGCGGTAGAGCATTAAATTATTAGTTAAATCAGTATTTAACTAGCACTAAATATTATTTCAAAAAATATATTTTTCACTAATTTTCAGGAGCTTAGTGGTAGTGAAGCTTATATTTTTAGCACTAATATTTTTTAGTGATAATGTTATTTTTTTTAACTATAACTCAATTGAGTGGTAGTGTAGAAAAAAGCACTACACTCAAATAAAAATTTGAACAGTCACTAACAAAAGGCTTCAATAATTTTCTTTGCACTATATTTTTAATGAAAATTAAAGAATTTGTAAGACAATAAATGATTAAATTGTTTAAAAGATATATCTATTCAAATGGAAAATACAGATTTTGTTAGCGATGACACTATGATGGACCCTTCATATGGAGTTACCCCAACATCTCATGCTTTAAATAGAAATGGTTGAAACACCTAAATTCCAAATCTTTTGCCTTCTTCTGCTCAAATATAACGATTTTTTTCTTTAGCGGAATGGTGAACACTCCTCGGAGAAATAAATTAATTGGTCAATTTTGTATCTTGATTGCCACTTCAGCTGCGTTGCCAATATGATGTGATTTGTTTACTGGATGTTTTTTAGGCAATAGCTTGGAAACTTTGAAAATAATGAACGTTTTACTCATTAATAATTCGTCCAATGAGTTTTTGGTTGAGTTAAACCATTTCTAGACTGACCTATTAACTTAAACTTTCAAATTTCTCTGTTGAAAAAAATAGTGCAGGAATATTTTTTGAACTAATAATTTAGTGTAGAAAAAATTATTTCACTAGGCTGTAAAAACAAATATTTTAACTATTTATACCCTACACCACTTTAGTGGGGAGGGTATATTGGATTTGTGCTGATGTTTGTAACATACAAAAATATTCGTCCTAGACCCACCTTAAAGTATACCAATCGGCTTAGAATCGTTTTCTGAGTCGATTAAGCTATGTCCGTCCGTCCGTCCGTCTGGCTGGCTGGCTGTCCATGTAAACCTTGTGCGCAAGGTACAAGTCGCAATTTTCAAGATAATTGGATGAAATTTGGCACGCACGTTTTATTTTACCTAAGGACGAAGCCTATTGAAAATGGTTAAAATCGGTCCATTATTTCACCTAGCCCCCATACAACAGAACCCCCCGAAAAGGGCTTCTGAGCTCATAATTATGTTAAATATACAGATATATCGATAAAATACGGCACAACTAAGTTTTATAGAAATCTTGATGACCCTGCCAAATTTCATAAAGATCGGGCCACATTTGACCCTAGCTCCCATACAAAGTCCCCTTCAGAAAATTACTTGAATGTCCCAAATTAGCTTATACACAAATATCGCGATGAAATTCAGCACAATAAAATATTATGTCAATATAAATATATTCACAAAATTTTATCGGGCTTGGTCCATATTTGCCCCTAGCCCCCATATAAAGCCTCTTTCAGAAAATTAGTTTTTCATCCATAAATTGCTTAAATGTATCGGAACAAGGAAATATTGAAGATAAATGCTTTATTATGAAAAATAAATTACATTTAATATTCATAACTGGTGTAGGGTATCATATGGTCGGCCACGCCCGACTATAATTTCTTACTTGTTTTAAAATATTTTTAGTTAAAAATTTTAAATATCACTATCACTATTATTGAGTGAGGCTTATATTTTTCAATTCATCACTAAACTTTAAAAAAAAAGTAGTGAATAATTTTGAACTACCACAAATTATTAGTTATAGTTAAAAATTAGTGCACTACCCCCATTTCTGGTAAATATAAAATATTAATTAAAAAATTTGGAAAAAAAAGAAAACAATTTTTTTATATTTTGGTAAGATTCCTACATAAAAAACGATTCATGAAATGCATTGAAATTCTCTGGGAATTACAGTATTTAGTGTATTTTTCAAAACCTTATAGATTTCGTGCTAGGTAGATCCTTATCAATTTCAGTAAAATTTGGAAAAATAATTACATATGAAATGATTTTATTACAAATATAATCAGTAGCAGCAACAAGACTTCTATAATTTTTATCAGAAAAGACATATACATCCATAAAGGATGATAAAGATATGTATATGAAAAAATATATGTATCTGCATAAGTTTTCAGATTCTCTTGTCTGATATTTTAGTGTATTACTTCAGATTAATATTTTAGTTCGCATGAATTTAAACTTAAATTTAGTTTTTTTAAAAGGCTACTCAAAAGCAGAAAGTTTTTTTAATGGCAAATTTAAATTGTATTAATTATTATTATTATTCAAAGGAGTAGAAATTAAAGAGTATGTATTGTGGCTGAGTTAAAAGCAATATATACATATCTCTTTAAACTTACCAGTTATCAACTATATGGATAATACTAATTAATAAAAACTTCGATATTATTTTATAGGCATATTATAAAAGGCCTTATTTAATATATAATTTTATTTCATTTGTATGTTCTGAAATAATAAATAATTTAATAAAAAAATAAACATACGTAAAATATTTTGTAATGCAATTGCTCTTTTCTTTTCTAAACTTTAGATATCGTTTTTATCTAAACAAATTAAAACTAAAAATAATAAAATAAAAATTTTAATGTTTTAACAAAAGTGCATGAGTGCGTTTAATTGTGCTTTGTATTGTATAGTTTAAAGAAAAATATTAATAACTATTTTTAAATACATGGTAAAACAACAAGAAATAAAAACAACTTTTAGCTGCATTCGGTGTCGCAATGTGACACCCAATAATGGAGTAAAACAAAAATGAAGCAAAAAATAAAATAAAAATGGTGAAGAGAAAAGATCAAACAAATATGTATAAGTATTACAAATAAAAACAATTTTTAAATAATAATTATAATAAAATGTGTGTATGTGTATTTACATACGGCGTGCATAGTACGATGTACTATTAAACCATTTACAATTTCATAGCGTACGAAAATATTTATTTCTCCTATTTACAAATTTTCTAAAACTGCTCACAGAAAATAGTTTGTATTTTTTCATTTTTATAAAAGAATGGAGAAATAAAATATTTTACAATAGAATTTGGAAATGGTGTTTAATTTTTTTTCTTTAGTAATGAAAATCAAACTTTTTTAAAGCTATAAACAAAGATTCTTATAAAGTATCATTGAAATGATATGTGTGTATGTGCAAATACTTAATAATGATGGAGATTGCTAAGCAAAGCCTTAAAAATATATGTATTTTCCCTATAACTCTCGCTAACTGTGTCACTACAACAGCACTATTAATTTATTTGTTTGTTGATTTGTTTGTATATATCTATATGTTTATATAAAAAGTCATTAATCGTCTAATTAATGGAATCACTTTAGAGTACTTAAAAAATTGTGTTTATACTTGAAAATAGTCATTGACCAAAATATCTGCATTTGGATCAGCTGTCAAATTAATTTTGGAACCATTTGTTGCTAATGTTTTGGTGGTGGAATGTTCTGTTTGCATGGCCGATGGCGTATGGGCTGATGAACTGGTGTTTGATGTAGCCGGACTTAATGGTGGCGAACTCAGTTGGGTGTCATCAGAGAACTCTGTCTGCAGACGTTCATATGGATTTTCCTGCCCAGATGTATTTAAATAGCAGACGGATTCATAGTTGGGATCGGTTTCACTGCCTGTAAGGGATTCATATTGAGAAGAGGAGGTAGGAGTTTGGCGTGAACTTATTGTGCTAGTGGTGGTCTGATTAGTGGATGTGGAATTAATGGAACTAGTGTTTAAGATGGAGCTACTAGTAATGGATGTTGGTGAAGTTATGGATAAATCGGCGGTGCGTGGTGTTAGTAACTCATCTACCATTGATTTGCTGGAATTGCTAAGAGGCAAATTCGGTGTAGTCGGTTCAGTTTTCTCAGCAATACGTGCATAGTGATCGCTATCAGTTTCATGACTGCCATCCGCTCCTCCCTTGGCTTCCAAAATACTGGCATAGTTGTGATTGGCATCGGGTCCCTTGACATCAGCAATAGTACTATAACCCCCAGTAGTTGCATTGCGCATATCATCGCTCTCTTCTCCCTTCACCTTGCTGTAACCGTCAATGGAATCTTCATCGATATTTATACGTTTCTTTTCCAATACTTTGGCATAGCCATCATCCGAGGCACCTGCTGAATTGATGCAAGCAGTAACATTTGGTCCTTTAAGCACTTCATAATTTGGATCGTAGTCGGATGATTTTTTTTCACTGTCATCAATTAAGGAGGAATTAATTTTTGGTTTTAATAATGTTTCGTATCCAGGATCGTTTGAACTATTTGTTAAGCCGGGATTAGCAATAGTTTCATAATGTTTTTCGCTACTGTTTAATTGTACACTATAGACGGTAATCGGTGGTTTTGATGAGGTATGAACTAAAATATTTGTGGGAGATACACAAAATACAAGCAGATTTAAAAAGGTTATAAATACAAATTGCCAAATTTCTAAAAAGTCTAAAAATTAATTATATTTATAAACAAAAATAATATAACTATGTTGCATTTAGGGTATAAATAAGTACATAGTAATTTCCAAAGAGCAAAGTGAAAAGTTAATACTAAACGTTTATGAATTTTTGGATTGATTTGATTTTTTATAGAGTTAGAACTAAACAAAAGAATACTGTATGCATAATCAAGACTTTAAATAAAAAGAATATCGTTCATAAACCCTTACTACTCTTACATCCACAAAAAGGCGTCAGAACCCTTTATTAATATCAAATTAACTTTTCACTTTCAAAATTAAAAAGTAATAAAATCATTACAGAATCGTTGTCATGCAAATACTATTAAAACAAGCACGAATTTTTAAGATACTAACCACTGGTTCCAAATTTGAGAAATTCGTTGTATTATTACGTTTTAGTTTTGTTTGTTTTTTG